AGTCGATATGATTTGATGTGTTGCATTTGTATTGAAGTTGAGTAAGTAATGCATAATATTTCGCTTGTAATAACTTCTGTCAGACTAATCTAGACAGTACTATAAAAGTTAGCCATAACTAATTTTTAAATCAAATATACCGTATTAGATATAGTTAGTCAATGTCTTTCGACGTCTAATATTGCGCTTGTAATGACTTCTCCGATTGATCTACTCGTATACTGTCGAGGTTAGGTGCAACTGACTTTGAAAATATAGATAGACTGTGTACTCATGATTTTAGTAAATGGCTTTTGCTGTGTTGGATTTTATCTTCCACTACTGATTGAATTTTATGTTGAAAATATCTCCTACTGCGCTAATTATGGTCAGCTAAGTGATCCTTCAGAACTATGACCTACGGAGATGAATTGTATATGGTAATATTGATTAGATGTTTTTTTCAATTGAAATTGACAATGCGTTTCATGTGTTTATTAGATCAGGATGACCGATGAAGGGATATGAATATGATGGCAAGGCGGTAAGATTTCTATTTTGTACGGTATGTGTAGTTGATGTATCTTCATCTATATAATATAATTCATTATTAGACGGATAGTTTGAGTTGGTGATTATTTATGATTATCATTATTTTGGAGAGGGTTGTTGATTATGAGGCAATTTGATGTAAGTTAATGTCTATAATTAGTTATTAGATAGCTAGTTTGAGATGTTGTTGATTGATTATGATTATCATGATTTTAGAGAGGGTTGTTGATTATGAGGCAATTTCACGTATGTTAATGTAGCACATATAATTAGTTATTAGATAGATAGCTTGAGTTGGTGATGTTGTTGATTATGAGGCAATTTGATGTAAGTTAATGTCTATAATTAGTTATTAGAAGATAGTTTGAGTTGGTGATGTTGTTGATTGATTATGATTATCATGATTTTAGAGAGGGTTGTTGATTATGAGGCAATTTCACGTATGTTAATGTAGCATATATAATTAGTTATTAGATAGATAGCTTGAGTTGGTGATGTTGTTGATTATGAGGCAATTTGATGTAAGTTAATGTCTATAATTGGTTATTAGATAGCTAGTTTGAGATGTTGTTGATTGATTATGATTATCATGATTTTAGAGAGGGTTGCTGATTATGAGGCAATTTCACGTATGTTAATGTAGCATATATAATTAGTTATTAGATAGATAGCTTGAGTTGGTGATGTTGTTGATTATGAGGCAATTTGATGTAAGTTAATGTCTATAATTAGTTATTAGATAGCTAGTTGGTGATGTTGTTGATTGATTATGATTATCATGATTTTAGAGAGGGTTGTTGATTATGAGGCAATTTCACGTATGTTAATGTAGCATATATAATTAGTTATTAGATAGATAGCTTGAGTTGGTGATGTTGTTGATTATGAGGCAATTTGATGTAAGTTAATGTCTATAATTAGTTATTAGATAGCTAGTTTGAGATGTTGTTGATTGATTATGATTATCGAATATTTTAGAGAGGGTTGTTGATTATGAGGCAATTTCACGTATGTTAATGTAGCATATATAATTAGTTATTAGATAGATAGCTTGAGTTGGTGATGTTGTTGATTATGAGGCAATTTGATGTAAGTTAATGTCTATAATTAGTTATTAGATAGCTAGTTGGTGATGTTGTTGATTGATTATGATTATCATGATTTTAGAGAGGGTTGTTGATTATGAGGCAATTTCACGTATGTTAATGTAGCATATATAATTAGTTATTAGATAGATAGCTTGAGTTGGTGATGTTGTTGACTATGAGGCAATTTCATGAATGTCAGTGCATAGAATTAGCTATTAGAGAGATAGTTTGAGTTGGTGATTGATTATGATTATCATGATTTTAGAGAGGGTTGTTGATTATGAGGCTATTTCATGTATGTTAACGTATATAATTAGTTATTAGAGAGATAGCCTGAGTTGGTGACATTGTTGACTGATTGTGATTATCATGTCCTATTCAAAGCAACGTTGAGCTATTGCCTGCGCGTATAGTGCTATCTATACACGCATGATCCAGTCTATTCCATGGTGGCGCCATTACCGTAGTATTGCAGCAAAAAGTTATTGATGCTGGCAGGGATTACTCCACTACAGATTGTCCCTCAAAAGCCGTAGCTAATAAACTTTTTCGTTACGGCTTTTGAGGGAGAATTTTGAGTGGAGTAGTCTCTGTTGATATATGGTTAAGCATATAGTTTATACTGTCACGACAGTACGGTAATTTTGCATTTGTGGATGAAATAGTCCAGGGTAGTATTGCCGAGCTCATTTTCCATGCGTTGGTAATGCACTGCGTGGAACAATCTATTCAGTGTTGATTGTCACTGGTTAGAGACATGATTTTATTTTGGCCGGTAGTCCAATAGCGGAGTCGATATGGTGATGCAGCAATGGAGGAGATACACCGTTTACTGCAGAGGAAACGACGACAAACACTGTATACGATCGTTTTCCTTGTGGCCATTTTGGCGGCGCAGTCCAAATGCAAAGCATGATGCAAGTGGTCGCACACGTTGGATACCAGCTGTGTCAGAAGTATAGTACATTAAGATTACCTTCTCATCATCCATTTGGAATAACCCCTTTGTAAAGCTATTTCAACAAAGTAGACTACAAGTTGAAGTCATTGCTTGAGCAATTAGCCCTTGAATTTGAAAAGATTTGTTGTTTGTTGGCATTGCTGCTTGCCACCATTTTTTCTTTCTTTCCTTTTGACCTCTTGCGCAGCCACAACAGGACGTCAGGATGTCGTGACGCTCCACGTGTGTGCTCTTAGTATGATGTAACCGTTACAGCAATACAAACTCGACTTGTTGGAGGGTTGGTTTGCGTTGCCGTATGATGACTCAGTGACTATGGACACGTACGGCAACGTCAACATGGCTCCGCTTTCTTCTCCATCACTGTGCTGCGATCCTCAGACTCATCATGTGGTTTGATTCTTTTGGTTTTGGGGGGGGGGGGGGACTGTTCATTTCTGAATCTATTTCCAGATGAGTACAGCATGGAGGACTCCGACTAGCATAGCCATGTCGAAGTACTGTACAGTGTACCGTAAGTTGGACTGGGCGAATGGAAAGAGACCAAGTCAATCCTGTAGTCAACATGGACGTCGAGTGATAGGCACTTGTACTGTAGCTTTACCATACTGAAGTTGTTCTCTAGCCGTTCTGTGAATGATGATGGCGAGAGAAAGTGTTGAAAATGAGCACAGTACTGCAGGAAGGGTAGAAGAGAACTTGTACGGCGGGCGGTAATGATTGATTTCTTTCTCGATCATTGTCAAAATGTGGACTACTCAGTAGTGGCATTGCAATCAGGAAAATGCAAAGTCCACCCGAAACCCGACTTGCGGGATTCGGCTGGAGTATCGGTGTAGTAATACAGTGTTTGTATAGGGGATTGTCGTCATTTGGGTTTGCAAAAAGGAACCGTTGGATCGGGTTTGAGCGGGTTCGGGTTGCCTTTTGACTCCATTGTACAACCCTGAATGCAATCAACATGATTGCTGCACTACTACTACTGAGTACAGTAGAATGATGCATCGTTTGGGTTTTCTTTTGTTGTACTCTATACTGTATAGTAGAAGATTCCTTGATGGTTTTAGGCAGAGATCGAGAAAAAAAAAGGAAGCGTTTTTTTTTTTCTTTTTTTTCTGACCTCGATGATTTTACCGGATGATGAAATGACAATGTCAACAATGGAGAGTACAGTACCATGCGGGTCCTGTCCCTTGCAGTACTGTGCACTGTACACTGTAGAGGATGAACTGTGTGCACAGTACTGTACTTACTGTATGTTACTTACTATGTGGAACTTGCTGTCCACTGTAGCAGTGGATACTGGATTTTGGGAGCCGAGCATCACGCTGTATTTGGGCCACATGCGAGCGCCAAACACTTGTGCAAAAGCATTTTTCCACCGTGTTGCCAGTCACTACAGTGTAGAATAGAGTGATGGCAAGTTTGCAATAGTTATGGCACTTGTGCAAAAGCATTTTCCATACTGTTGACAGTCACTACAATGTGGAATAGAGTGATGGGAAGTTTGCGCTTGCGCTTCCATGCTGTAGGATGAAAAGCGGAAAAAGCATTTTTCCATACTGTGGATAGTGACTACAGTGTACAGTGTACAGTACGATGGAGTGATGGTCACAGTTACTACAGTGTACAGTACAATCACTACTAAGCATTTTTCCATGCTGTGGACAGTGACTACAGTGTACACTTGTCCAAGCGGTTTTTTCCATACTGTGGACAGTGACTACAGTGTACAGTACAGTTTTCCAAGAGCATTTTTCCATACAGTACTGTACTGTGGACATTGACTACAGTGTATAGTACATTTGTCCAAGCGGTTTTTTCCATACAGTACAGTACAGTACACTGTGGACAGTGACTACAGTGTACAGTACACTTTTTCAAGAGCATTTTTCCATACTGTGGACAATCACTACAGTGTACGTACTGTACTGTACACTTGTCCAAGCGCATTTTTCCATACAGTACTGTGGACAGTGGCTACAGTGTACAGTACAATCACTACAGTGCAGAATACTGTGATAGCAAGTTTGCGCTTGCCAGTCCATGCTGTACGATGAAGCCGATGATCCAGTACGGTACGGTACGGTATGGTACCGTACGGTTGGCGGACCAATGGACGACGGCCGCCATTTTTTTCCAGTCACGGCCGCCTTGAACGTCACCCGTTCAAGGCGATCACGTGCTTTCTAGCGTTGTTTTGTTGGGCCCGTTTGGGTCCGGTTGGGTTCGCCTGGCCCAGTTGACTGACTGACTGACTCGGGTGTTGCATGATAGGCGATAGAGGGAGAAGAAGGCGCGCACAAACTGGACAAGAAGGTCGAGAAGAAATTGGATTTTCAGTCAGCAATTAAGGTCTTGGATTGATTCTTTTCCCATACTTGTTCTCTCCTTTCTTTCATCATCGTGGCTTGGCATAGATGGTGATGCCAGCCACTTCTGTTGGCGAGAAAATGCCCATGGACGGGCATGACGGCGATGCAAGTGACAGTCACGATGGCGGTCGCCATGACCAAGGATTTCTGTGTGATGGCGAGAAGAACAACATGGCTACCACAGCAGCAGCAGCAGCTGCAGTAGTCGACAAGGATGATGCCAAGTGGATGGATTCCCATGCCCATTTACAATGGATTCAACATCATCAACAGGCATTACGCCAACGTCAAGAGAAATTAGACGATCGAAGAGTGCAATTAGTCCAACGTTGTCGACAAATTCAATCCACTCAAATGATGCAACATGCCCAAGATGAATTGGCTCAAGTCATGCAACAACATGGCTATCAAGCGCGTCTTATTTTAACAGCCATGATGAATCATCATCATGAGAAAGAAACATGGAATCAATTCCTCCATCGTCATCATACCACGCTACAACAGTTTATTGGTCAATTTAAGCGTCAACGCATACCAACATGGCCTCCACAATTCAATCAACTGGATGTAAAACCACCATCGCATCAAGCTCAACTTAATTTACAACACAATCATGTCCACCATTGGCTTGGCCAACTGGATGATCAATTGACGATGATGGAGAAAGAGCAATGGTCTGATGTCACCGAGAGTAGTTCTGGTGGTGAAAGTTGTGATGAATTAGATGCAGCCGATACAGCTATAGTAGCCCAACGGTAAGTCGGTTATTTTTTTCCTCCATTCTGACTATCCTTGCCAAAGGGTCTTTTTCTTTTTCCATGCGATCTGGGTTTTTTTTTTTGTTGTGTTGGTTTTTTTTTTTTCTTCTTTTTTTCCCCTTTTTGCGACCGGCCAAGCCAAAGGCGAGCATGCCACTTTTCTTTCTCCAATGGCAAGGTTCACTGTCTTTATCCTTGCCAAGTCGATAGGTTCTATTTGAAAAAGCAACAACATGATTTGTGCTATCCATCACAACCATTGTCCATAGCAAGACTCTCCGTCGTCCATTCATCATGCTCTTCTTTCTTCTCTTTTCAAACGGCCATGAATCAATCATTTCTACTGCCTAGTCCACAAGGGCAGACTTTGCCCCCCCCCCCAAAAAAAGAATGCCATCAATTTCCTCTATTCCTCAGTACTTTGAAAGATGATTGCAATCCTTTTTTTCTTGACATTTCAAAATCCACTTGAATCATCATGACCACAACAACAACAACAACGATTATCCATCGTGTTCCATATTGGCTAACTAGCCATTATGCATTGATCTTCATGCTTCCAATCACCGATGGACTTGCTCTTCCTCTTGCTAGACTGTTGAACCCCTTAAAATCCATACCGATCATCCATTACAAGAGAAAGACTTTACTTGAACAAGATGGATTCAATGTCATGTTGATACCTTCCAATAACTAGCAAAATCCACTTGTGCCATCATCATCATCATCATAACGGAGACGATCAACCAGGGTCGATGGAGGATAACTTCCTTGTTGTTATTTCAACCGGGCCATCGACAAACTATTGCTACGTAGCTACTGCTTGCTTCAAAGAGCAATATTGACAAACCATTTCTATCCATTCCAAGGCAAGACAGTACTTTGAAACGATCCTTGCAATGCCATGGAGATACCTTGGAAAATCCACGGATGCCTTTATCATGACAAGACAAACTAGCGATCCATCTTGTGGTATCGATCGCTACCGCTTGCTTAATCACTTTTCAACTGGGCCAATCCATTAAACCAACTACAATTTCAACTGCCTACTAGTCGAAAAAACCAACTTTGATCAATCCATGATGGATATCATCATTCCAATGCCTTGAAAAGGAAACGGCCATCCATTGCCTTTTATGTCCTATCGCCATGTTTTTGCCTATATTGAAAGTTGGACTTGGAGCGCTTGCCTCCAATCGTCATCGTCAGTCCTTTCCCTAAAAATGCATTATGTTGATCGATTGGATGGAAAATATTGTCCATACCAATAGTTGGACAGCATTATAAGACAGAGTTGTTTTGCAGGGGAAAACATGAACTTGGACTCGCTATCTCAATAACTCAAAGTGGTAGTGGACAATCATGCCAACATTGCATCAAAAGATTGAAAGAAGACCCAAAAACAAAACATTTTCATTTTCTCCCTTTCTCTTTCTTGTCTCCATGATTCCTTATTCTATTTTGCCCATCATCTATTCATTTCGTCATAAGCTAGCCATGGCAATGGATACGCCATAGTAGCTAGCGTTGACTTGAATGGCAAAGAAATGATTGATTTTCCACGCCAACTGCAATGAAATCATTTGATCCATCATGGCATTTTGCATCCAATCTTAAGGATTCAATACAGTAGTCTACAATCACCAAGCCCCTGTAGGATAACCAAAACACAACATGGCAAGAAATTGAACATTCTCATAGCCGTCGTTGTCTTGCATGGATAACAGCAGTCTACCCATCATCATCACAGTATATTATCCATTCCCTTTCTGACAACGACGATGATTATTCTCCCTGCGCCATGATCCATCATTGTATCCTTTACGAGAGGAACAACCGCAAGGCATTTTTGGCCAGGCCGATGATGATTCTTCCACCTTATTGTTGAAAATAAATCATCATCAATCATGCATCGCTTGCTATTCAAAATTATGTGGAAGGGTAGTTTTCCATCTCTTAGGATATGCTAGCCAGTTGTGTAGAAAGGGAAGAAATGGAATGTTCTTTCTTGACCCTTTTCCCATTTTGTAGAAATATTTGTTTTTTTGTTTTTCTCCCCCCATTCCTATTTTACGACGCTGTAGCCAATCCTTTACAAGAAGAAATCATCCTCTTCTATCGTCATAGACAACCGATTCCTTATTGATAAAGTGATGATGCTTATCCCATTTCCCTCTTTCCCCATTTCTACTTGTTCTGACAACTGTGTACCTGCGGTCGTCTACAAAAGGATCTCGTATATTGTGGTGTAGGAGTCTATTTTGAAAATGCAATTACTGCCATAGGACCGACTGGATGAGTTTTGCCACCATGAACTAGACCATTTTCTCGTTATGCAATTATTGTTGTAGTGGTTGTTATTTTGAGTGTTTCTACTTTACCCTTTTCCATATCGTCTCTCCATTTCAAGTTCCCAACGATGCAGGAGGAAAAAATCATTTCCAATAGTGGCACAGACAGTGCGATACGCTATCGTCCATGTGGATAGGATTGTCTTGCTTTTCCTTTTATCTACTCGACGCATCCACAAGATGATTTTTCCTCCATGTTAACCGTTGACTTTCTTGTCTTGATCTCTTCAATTGATTTGACAAACGTTTTATTTTTCTCCTCCTAACCTTCTACTCTCTTTTACTCTACTGGATCCATGACTTTCTTGCCTTAAAAGACCTCTTCAATTGATTTGACAAACATTTCATTTTTACCCTAACCCTAACCTTCTACTCTCTTTTACTCTCTTTTACCTACTGGATCCATGACTTTCTTGCCTTAAAAGACCTCTTCAATTAATTTGACAAACATTTTATTTTTACCCTAACCCTAACCTTACTACTCTCGTCCATGTCAATATTGCACTTTTTCATGCTATCGTTTCTATCTTGTAGGACTAGTTTTCCAACCGATGTTAAGCAATGGTATTTTCATCGAGGATCGATTGCATCGCGTTGGACATGGATTGAATTTCAAAAATTAAGACTAGAAGAACGTCTCCAACATTATACACAAATGTTAGAAAAACTAGAAGACAGGCATCCAGTGGAAGCCCACTGTCCAAGTAAGTTTGAAAAAAAGATGCAATGCATTCCATCTTGGACCTTATTAATACAGTCCAACTGCAGACAATTTCATTCCATGGAGTCCAAATGCAGCCAATCTCTCCAATGTTTCATGTTAACGCTCAATCTAGTCACAATTTAATCCATCCAGTGTTTCATGTCAAAATGCCAACATATACCCCATTCTACTCAGTCTTGAATGTCAAGCCTACATGGAGAGAGAGATCGGCATGGTTTTATGTTGTTCCTCCTTGGCTATGGCTTTGATAGCATTTTGTCTAGGAATCCACAAAGGTTTTTTTTTTGTCCCCTTCTTTCTCTCTCTCCCTTGACATGTCCAATTCAAGTTTTTTATTTTTCAATCTACTTACTAACGACTAACGTACACGATACAGTAGGATCAACTTGAACTCCATTGCATTTTGGGGTTTTTATTCCTATGACCGATGTAATAGTGTAGCAAGAGAGAGAGAGAGAGTTTACCGTAGAGATGGGACTGGTCAATTCATTTTATTCCATATTGGATTACTCTTGAAATTGGACGCCATGTTGGATTCGTTTAGCAAAGATTGAAAAAATGAATGTTTATAGTCTCTGTTCCATTCAATATCGTTTTTCCCCCCCCACCGCTTGTTTTACTATTTCGTATTATGAAATTTCTTTTTTTGTGTTGTTGTTGTTGTCAATTCTTTCCTTATGTTCATTCTTTTTTTCCCTTTTGATTGCCTATTCTTCTCCTATAGTAGAAGAATCTTGTGCTCGAGTTCGGCCTATCCGTCTGCATCAAAAACCCAAAGTCATTCGATTGAATACTGTACAAGAAAATTGTAATAAATGTACTGCGTTAGCCTCATGTTTTCAATGCCATCAAAATGGTTTAGCCCAAAGAAATGGCGACATCGATGTCACAACACCGTTAAAGCAACGATTGGAACAACTTGATCCAGCCTATCATCCATCACTTTCCTATTCTACTGGTAACTATTTCATGAAATATACTGTAATCTATGTCTATTTTTGAAAATACCAAACTACCCCATCTCACAGTAGTAAAATCAAGTTGGTCCATAACGATTGTAGTCTTTCGACCTTGGTTATACGACGCAGATTGGAAAGGGCTTTTAAGGCGATTTATTTTCAAACCTGTTTTCATTCTGGCATGCTTTTTTTTTCCATGCATTCTTGATCGATCGATCGATCGATCAAGAATGCCAAAATGAAAATTCAGAAGTTAGCAGGATGATCAACAGTTCCATTTTTCTATTTTTGATTCCGCGTAGTCAGTCTACTGTATTGGCAACCCCTATTGACTATTTTTCCAATTTTATACAGTCAATCAATGGTAAAGGACAAGTAGGATTAGCCAAGTGGATGGTAGTAGAAATAGATTTACCCTTTCAATGACGAATAGAATTGGCAATGTAGAGAATTGAATGTCAAGAGAGACGATAGACAGTTGGATCCAGTTACTGTTAGGATAAGAAGTACAAGGATGAAAATAGCATCCCCTTCAAAATATCATGCTACTATTTTTCCTTTCGTTGTAGTAAATCTACCGTAGTAGTTTTTTTTATCCTAAACCGTCTACCAAAATGACATCTCATAAGAGGCAATTAGATACCGTTGTCAGAAGATGATTATTCAGTTTTACCCCAATACCTGAGAAATGCTTGCCATTCCTATCCTACCGTAGTTAGCTTGCAAGACTATTTTAAAACTGGGAGTCTACAACGGAATAATAGAACCAGTTTGATTCTAGTTGTTATTCCACTCATGTTGTAATCCATATTGATTATTGATGCTTTAAAAAATATAGATATACCATTACCCTTCTACTTTGAAAGTTTACTCCGAAAACAAATTCTTGAAAAAAGAAATGATGATCCAGTAGAATCGAGCAAGAGGTAAGTCGATGATAATCGATGCAAATAGACAGTTTTAATGATGAGTTAGATTGACAATAAAATGCAATACAAAAAATTGTTAGACAACAACAATCATATCATGACTCAGATCGATTACATCATCGATGGACTTTGAATATTATGAATGCACCCCTCCTCCCTACTGCTAAAACAAAATGTAAACACACACCATACTCCCAATTCCTCAAATAAACCCCCCAAAATGGTCGTACTTTACAGTAAAGACGTTCTATCACGCAAGATGCTTCAAGAAATAGAAAACAAGTCAAATTTTAAGTCATTAGTATCAATACCATCTATATATATAGATAGATATATCGATCACGGAAGATGCTTCAATATACAAGACATCAAAATAAGTAACATTTTCAATAATTAGTCTATACGATATCAATCACGTAAGCTGTTTCAATATAGAATACATCAAAATAAGTAACATTTGGAATAATTAGTCTAAATACGATATCTATCACGCAAGATGCTTCGATATACAAGACATCAAAATAAGTAACATTTGGGTCATTAGTATATACGATATATATATCACTTAAGATGCTTCAATATAGAATACATCAAAATAAGTAAAATTTGAAATAATTACTATAAATACGATATACTGTAGATCACCTAACATGCTTCAATATAGAATCCATCCTACAAGCCAAAAGTTTCTGTAATTAGATGAAATACAATATATATATCACACAACATGCTTCAATATAGAATCCATCCTACAAGCCAAAAGTTTCTGTAATTAGATGAAATACAATATATATATCACACAACATGCTTCAATATAGAATCCATCCTACAAGCCAAAAGTTTCTGTAATTAGATGAAATACAATATATATATCACACAACATGCTTCAATATGAAATGGCCCTTTAAATAAGCAACATTTTTTATTATTGCGATAAATATCGATACAAACCTAAATTTAACTTTGCCCTTCTTGAAAATGATAGATTATCCAAGTCAGATACCAAAGTTCCAGCGATAAAGAAAGTTCGGAAAAAGCCAACATTATCCAAGAGCGCTAGTTCCGCGATGATGAAATCATATAGTAAGTATGATTGTTATTGGACTGTATTGTATAATTCAATAGGTGAGAAAGAGTGCAGACAATACGTGTATACTTTCTACGGTAGATATTTTAATTCAACGACAATTCTACATTACCCCTTATATAGCTTAGCTTGTTATAAGTTAATTTATGCAGATAGAGATATGTCCGAGTCCAATTTTTCATCTATCACTAGTCTAGAAATGTTATACGTTTGTTTAAAGTGATTAATATCCTTGCATTCTATTATATGAATAAGTAGAAAGCCAATCGAATTCAGCAACACCCAAAAATCGTAAAAGTGACAATAACACGACAAAATTATCACAAAGTGATTGCAAGAAACGTAAATCGAGCCAAGGTAAGTAAAATTCATGAAATGAGATAAAATAAAGGAGAAGAAAAAAAAAAATAAATAAAAAGTAAAGTATTCATCACTTATAAATGAACAATGAAAACGTAGTAAAACGCTATGGAGATAATACTAATGTAAACATCAAGTATTATTTATCAGTTATGCTATTTTACAACAATAACTTTTAGTTTTTAAATTGTAATATAAAGTAGTAAAAGGAAAGTAAATTGCCTACTACACTCAGTTAGAATTTATCTCGATAGACAAGTTGAAATCAATGGATGCAGTTGAACGATATCATTTTTGGTTAATACCATATTTATCTTCATGGTTATTGTATAATAATTTTTCTTCTTTTTTTTTTTTTCAATCTCTTTTTTTTATAGAACAAATTCCTACCGTTACTTCAAATTTAAATAGAAATAAAAGTACACCTAGTCAACGACATCCTATTGAAACACCGACTAGATTATCTGCTTCATTACCAGCTTCAGTCTTACGAAATAATATTACAAGTGTTCAATCGGTATCGTCGAAAAGAAAGAGAGGCAGTTCTACTGCTTTCGATATCAATAATATTGTTATACCTTATTCAATTGCATCGGCAACGCGTGTTGAAAAGCCTCAATATAAAGAGATTTTAACACCGAGTTGGAGATTAATTAAAAAACCCAAATTTGATGGTGATCAGCCAACGTTAACATCGAACAACGATGATGATAATGATGATAACGCTATGGAGAATAATACAAGTAATACGAGTAATGTCAATGGAACCAATTCGTGTCATAATACAGCCAACAATATTGAACATCATGTCAATGCAGTATCACCTACGCATCATAGTAACGAGGAATTGAAGGGAAATAGTCGTTTTGATGGTAGTCATTCAAGCCATTCTGTATCGGTGTCATTAGGTGAAAGTAAGAAAAAGAATAAAAATAACACCAATTGTACCAATACTACTACTACAACTGTAGATAGCGTACAGTTGAAGGTAGATGAGAGTAAAATGGACCCATCTGTACCTCATGTACAGCCAACAAGTAATGTCAATAATGGTACAAGCGATAACGTCAAGCAAAATAATAATACTACTACTACTACCGCCTCCACTACCACCACCACCAATCCTGTTGACAACATGAATGAGGTATCGAGATTGTTATATATATATATATATCTTGTTTTATTGTTGAGGTAGTAAGCATAGCGTTATTGTAGTAAGTGTAAAACAGTCAGTGACACAAGTGGATGAAAGCAGTAAAAAAATTGTTCAATTCAATAGCCATTAAAATAGATATATATAAACATACTTTTCCGCAATAAATGATATTACAATTTCAAAACATGAAAGAACAAACGTATCTTTCTTACTGTTTAAAGTCATGTTGGTTATTGCTAATTTTTTTCATTATTCTTTTCCGACGTATAATTAGTGTGAAGATTTGTCGGATACTATTTTTATCAAGCGACACGCAAAGTATGAACTTGAAGAAAGAATGAAATTTTATACCTCCTATATCAAGAAAAAGAGTAGAACACATAGCCAAAATGGTAGCTCGACAGAAATCACTCCATCAACGCCTATTCATAATATTAGCAATATTTTTATTGACCATGATGCATCATTAAAAAATTTTGTCATGGATGAAAGTAAAGCAATCTCCAGTCGTAGATCAAGTCGTAGTAATAGCTCGACATCAGTGTCGACACCGACTGGAAGGACTGATATGTGGGATACACCATCCGCATTAACATCACCATGGATAAAGAGGCAATTTCCGCTATGCAAAGGAGAAGAATTACAAGCATTACTGGAGCCTGAGCCGATAACATGGGCAGAAGATGATAGCGCTAAAAGTGGATATGTTGAACATGATGATGCTATCAATGTGCAAGATAACGGTAACACCAATTGGTCGATTGCTTGGAGCAATAAAAATGAAAAAGTTAAAAGCCAGGACGAAAGTAAGCATCCGTTAGTGTTAAAGTTAACCAAAAGATAGACTATGGTCGGTAGATGGAAAAATTAGAATGGAGTCAGCTTATTATAATCCTGTCTGAAAGCCGCTACATAAGTCCCCTGTAATTGTTCAGATGTATTAATGTTGAATTTGGAAAAAGAGGATATTCTAATTCAATTTAAAAGCCAAAAAATTTGAACACTGACTGTTTCTTAACTCGATGATGATGATAATTGTTATAACGGCATAGGGTGGAAAAGTAATATTTTGTTGCTACACAAGAATAATTATGGTATGTAGATTATTTACGACAGACGTAAGTGGTGGTAGTGGTATCCACTATGGCAGTAGGCAGGATAGGTAGATCCAAGTTCAAAGGAATATCGATCTACTATGACGCTTGTAATATCTACATGCGTACAGTATAGATAGCGAGAAGGAAATGTTCCTACTGTATTCCATTGTATTAATACACTTATTACTAGTACTACTACAGGCATACAAGGAAGGTTGTACTCTTGATATTGATAAAAAAAAAAGTTAATGACGTAAGATGGCTTTATGTAAATACAATTTTAAATCAGTTCTCATGTTTTGTTGTTGATTTTCTTCCAACAACTGTTTTGGATGGCGCGATAGTGTCCTGAAGGAAGATGAATCCGATCTAGGTTGCGCGATAGTGGTTCAATTGCACACACTACTGGGCTAAGTTTAGCAACATTGCACAGCATTAAGTTATTATCAAATCGAGTCCAACTTTTCGTCTAAACTGAAGGGGACGTACGGCGTAAACATAATATACTGTATATATAGATATATATGATCGATGTATACATTGATGTATGTTATCTTATGCTTTGTTAATAGCATGTAAGATTAAGTTTAAATTGATCTCGCTTGATACATACGTATTGATACTGGTGTACTTGCACTTGACAAACTTAAAAATTCAATGGGTAATTATCATCAATTGAAATGTATATTGATTTAAATTGTCAATCTTAAAACGATTGCTACCGTTATTGTAATGCAAAACATTAATAAAAAAAATATCTGTACAGTATCGATATAAATGCAAAGGTGTTTTGTGTGTCATTGAGAAGTATTTGATTCAGTGTTGTATCCTTTTATGCTATCGATTGGATACCATCATGATGATACACAAAGTTGTGCTACAGTACGAATGATGGATTGGTATAACTATTGAATGATTTATTTACTACCCTAGTGCTGCTACCATAACAGTTGTTTCTACTGGACTGTGTGGTATGCAGTATAATCGTAGGTGGTGCCCTTTTGCAGCTGATTAACAAGAAAGTAATTTATTTTACGAGTAGATCATTTCCGCTCGTTAAGCTTAAATTGCAGAATAATTGATTTATTTCTACAGATTGACTTTACATCGCTAGTTTTGTGTTAAAGTCATGCCGTCATGGTGTATGGTGTTGGTTGGATACAATAAAGTAGCATCTACTTTATAGTTGACTGATTGCTACTTATTTTGCTTTACAGTTTGGCAAAGGTTAGTTTTAACGCTTTATTCATATGCCTGTATGTAGGATAACATCTACTTTATACTTTGTCGATTCCTACTGATTTTACTTTACTGTTTGGCTAAGGTCAGTATTAACAGTTTATTCATATACCTGTGTGCAAAATAGCATCTACTTTATAGTTAGCCTTTACTGTTTGGTAATGGGTAGTATTCACGGTTTATTCATATACCTGTATGCAAAGTCTACTTTATAGTTAGCCCTTACTGTTTGGCAATGTGTAGTATTCACGGTTTATTCATATACCTGTATGCAAAATAGCATCTACTTTATAGTTAGCCTTTACTGTTTGGTAATGGGTAGTATTCACGGTTTATTCATATACCTGTATGCAAAGTCTACTTTATAGTTAGCCCTTACTGTTTGGCAATGGGTAGTATTCACGGTTTATTCATATACCTGTATGCAAAGTAGCATCTACTTTATAGTTAGCCTTTACTGTTTGGCAATGGGTAGTATTCACGGTTTACTCATATGAAGTAACATCTACTTTATTGTGGATCGATTTCTACTTTACCATTTGATAAAGGGCAGTATTCACATTTTATTCATATAAACTTGTATCAAGTTTAAAGCTCAGCTTGATTGCAATAAACGGACGCATGATGCGTAATTTCTACGCGTAGTCTACATAATTTTGTATCCTGCCGTTTGCAATGTGGTATTTTTGTTTTATGCAAAGTATCGCTTACCTTCTAGACGTTCTGTTGATGTGTAGTATTTGGCAACAATCAGTTGATTTATAAATACCAAGATGTAGATTACGAGATCTTGTGCGACTTTACTTAGAATTAATTAGGAGAATTTAGAATGGACGTATGATGAAGTATTGACTCATAACCACATACGTTGTATATAAGGCAATGGTAATTTTTGTTACGCACTAAAGTATCGCTTTTACGCTACACGTTTGTTATCTAGAGTATAGGCAACAATCGGTTGATTTACAAATACCAAGATGTACAAGAATAGGAGCTATGATTCTATTTAGAATTAATCAGAAGTACGATGAAGCTCATAATTGTACGTATAATGCAATGGTATTTTTTGTTATACAGTAATAAAATATGGCTTATTTACTCTACACCCTGGCTATCTGTAGTATTGGCAATAATTGTAATCGATTGATTTACAAATAGCAAAACGTAGAATGGGAGATATGACTCATTTAGGATCAATTAGAAGAAATAGATTGTCTGATGAAGCATTGACTTATCATTAATGCAATGGTGCATCCATTTGAAGCAATTTACGCAAAGAGGTGTGCTTGATAATAGTATTGGTTATGACACATGGGATAGAGAGACAATACCTTGTCTATCTGGTGATGTGGTGATTGCTGCTTGAAATACAGTTGTGGATAAAACGAAAGTTAGTCTTGAATTAACAATCGTTACTCAAGTTATTACTTTCATTGATATGCTTACACATTGTCGCAAAATGATCCTCTCTAAAATGGGCCTGTAAGATCGATTCACATTGGAGTGTGTACCCGTAGCGAGTGTTGCTCAATGCAGATCGTCGAATGCAATTTTGAAAGGTTGAAAGGCTATACATTTAATAATTACTAGTAAATAGCATGAGTTAACATTATTATCATCATCATCCTTGTGTTCTTCACCATCTTCTTGGGAGGTGACAATCTATAATCAATTAAAATGAACAATATTCATTAATTAATATGCAAACTTTTACTTTCGATTACTACGATAAATTGATCAAGACTGAACAATGTTCTGAATTTGAAATACAGCAATTTAATATAAAATCTTGAGTACAATTAATTATTGCTATCAGCATTCAACATGATATATGAATATTTAATGCTATTGAATACCGGTAATGAATGATTCCATCGATTAATTTTTGCTATTGTGTTAAAGCACGCGTATGTCATGGGTAGTATTGATAGCACTTGTGCAAATATTGGAATAATGTGCTGTAATTTAACTCGTCGCAGTACTGAAATCAAGACATGGCTTGGGGTATATCCAAATACGTGATATGGTTTTATGGTAATCAGCTTATGGCACTGCCGTCAGTGACCTATAGCATTACATCCTGAGATCGATCTGAATAATACTTCAGTTCTGGCTACGGAAATGTCTTGGTGTTATTGACCGAATTTACCGCACAAGTACATCCTGAGTTCGATCTGAATAATACTTGTACTTCTGGCTACAGAAATGTCTTGTTGGTATTGACCGAATTTACGCACAAGTACATTCTGAGATCGATCTGAATAATACTTGCACTTCTGGACGTAGAAATGTCTTGGTGGCATGGACCAAATTGACCGCACAAATACATGCTAGGTAGTGTCTATCTGATGCTAAGATTGATTTGAATAATACTTGTACTTCTGGCTATGGAAGTATCTTGGTGGCATTGACCGAATTGAATTTATATAATAGATATATTATATTCATTCCGACCGTATAAGTACATCGTGGGATCGATCCGAATAATACTTGTACTTATAACTGTAGAAATGTGTTGGTGGCATTGACCGAATTGACAGCACAAGTACATCGTGAGATCGATCCGAATAATACTTGTACTTGTAACTGTAGAAATGTGTTGGTGGTATTGACCGAATTGACAGCACAAGTACATCGTGAGATCGATCCGAATAATACTTGTACTTCTAACTGTAGAAATATCTTGGTTGTATTGACCGAATTGACAGCACGAGTACATCGTGAGATCGATCCGAATACTACTTGTACTTGTAACTGTAAAAGTGTCTTGGTGGTTGTTATATATAGATGCAGTACAGTATTTGCTTATTGCCACGAAAATAATAGTGGTATTGACCGAATTGATCGCACAAGTACATGGTGAGATCGATCCGAATAATGCTAAAGAAACGTCTTGGAGTATTGACCTAATTTACTGCATAAGTGCATCCTGAGATAAATCTCAATAATACTTGTACAATTTTATGACTATCGAAGTGTTTTGGTGGTATTGATTGAATTTACCGCACAAGTACATCTTGAGATAGGTCTGAATAGTACTTATACTTTATGGGTATAGAGATATCTTAGTGGTATTGACCGAACCGAATTTGCCGCACAAGTACATCCTGAGATCGATCTGAATAATACTTGTATTGGATCTTGACTGTAGAAATATCTTGGTGGTATTGACCGAATTTTGGTCATCAGGACATCCCGAGGTTGATGTGAATAATACTTGTACGATTTTATAACTGTAGAAATACTTTGATGGTATTGATCGAGATCAATTTTAACTATACTGTAGGACTATCTTGATAGTATCGGCCGTGCCAATACATCCTGACGCATCTGCAAATAAGCTATTTTTTAGAGCTGTCCGATTGCGCTCATGACTACAGCCTTGTTGACACGCTATTTTGTGAAATTATTGAAATGGAAGAATTGGATATAACTTTGTAGTTTGCATTACTCTAAAAGTAACCACGAATGAGAATTGATTGGTGTTTATGGGCATACCAATATTCCT